ATTGGCTTTTGGGAAAGCTGGTCCTGGAGTAATTGTGTGTGTGCCCTGCCTTGTTTCTTGCCAGGATAAACGTCTCTGCAATTCTGTCTATAACTGAGTCATTTTTATGCTAATAAACTCTGACAATAGGCTCAGATAGAGTGCAATCAATATAAAACTTATCAAAGTTTACTGCCTGGTATCAACCACTATGCTGTTCCCAGCCTTGTGACTGTAAGCAGGTGGTGTTTGATACCAGGCTAAATACTCTTATTTTCTTGGACTGCAGACTACTAATGTAATAGTCACTGAAGCAGTGAGGAAAAATCCAGAAAAAAAAACATTTATGTAAATATAACAGAGGGGATAAATTCTGCCTCTGAGCTTTACAGTGTTATTTAAATAATCTGGAAGTCTACATTAATGGGGCAAGCGAACGATAAGCCTTCTTATACTCTTAGTAAGAACAACAGCATTTTCAGAGCCAAATTAGCAATGCAGACACATCAAGTGGAATTAAAACACCAGTTTTAATCAGATACATCTTGTAAAGGAAACGAGAGAAAATCTCGAGCTGCATTAAGAAACTGACTTAAGTTAACCCTTTTTACATCTTGTCTCTTACTTCACTTCCAATAAGGAAGTTGTCAGTTTTAAATGCATTTCCCCTTAGTTTTGACTTTTGTTCTCTCGTTTGTGATTCATTGTAAGTACATTGGATTGACTTTGATGTTGCCTCTTAGTACATTACTGACAATGACATAAACAACTAAAATTATACTTATGTTACTCTGGTTCTTGTGAGCTTATAGTTAACATCCAAAATGGCTAGGGAAAAAAGTGTCCCTCCTGGCCAATTTCAGCTAATAAAAAAAAGGGTTGGTTATACAGCTCAGGATTATAAACAACAGATTCAAACAGGATATACTGTAGTTTCCACACAGTTACTACAGAAGTTACAGAGCAAAGCAATTGGAGCGAATTAATTCAATTTCATCATAAAACATGTAAAAGAAAGAATAAACAGAAAATGTGTTAGTTTGAGTCATGACAATTGCTTAGAAATATAAGTAATAAGTGGGAAATACTACAAAGTCATTTGAAACAGCTGAGACATTTTCTATGATAACCCTGTGATTACTTTGTGCTCCCAACATTGGTGACAAACGTCTCACCACTTCTGTAATCATATAACTGGAAGAAAACAGATCTTTTGGCAACCAAGACACTGAAGGGGATTTCTAAGTGTGGATCTTACAATAACTGTGATAGTGTGCATCAGATTAAGAATAAATTGTATAAGATTAGGATTTTATCTTAAAACTTTCTTTGACTCCTTTCTGCACTTCAGAGGACATTGATTTTCTGAGGATTACTTCAGGCATATCACAGTGAAGCAGGCAAGGGATTTTGCAGGACATCCATGCTTCAGGAGGATATTTCAAAAGCCTTAAGGCTTACTCAATTCAATGCTGACCAGAGGGGTAGGTTTTCCTGATAATAACTTTACTGTAAGGAACATTCAGGTTAACATTCAATGTTCACTGGAACTTGAAAATGATTTTTTACTTTGGGAGTGTGGTGATATCGGTGTGGTAAATTTCCAATTGCAGATGTGGTAATTTGATTTTACTGAGCTTATCTATGTCTCTCATGACATTTTGTGGGCTGAGTGCAGAACTAAGAACAGGTAAGAAGCTGTTGATGGAAATTAAAAAATGAGGGTGGTGTTTTAAAGAAAGATGGACGTTTGGTGACGTTAAAGAAGTAGCACTTGAACTTATTAAAGATGTATTGTAACTGAGGTTGTACTTTAAAAATCACAGAAAATGATGCACCAAGAGCAAGAGATGCACCTTCTTCCCTTTCAGTTACAGTCATGGGAGCAGTATAACCACAGATCTGATTGTCAGCTGTTCAACAGAGAAAACTACCATTGTAGTTGAAGCTATGCTGTGATGGAGCTGAGATTACTGTGTGTGGTACTGCACTGCTATGCACTTTTGTATCTTATGTAATATTTCAAAAGCATAGAATACCTGATATTTTCTCAACTCACAGACAACCTCATACTTCGGATATCCACAAACTCAATCATTAATCTCCTTTAAACCTTACCACAGAATATCATCAGCTAATGCACTACGAAAGATGCTATTTAACCTTCTGACTTTACAGAAGCTGTAAAATCACGCTGCACATGTTGGTGTTAAGGCAGTAAGATTCCCTTCATTATCCCAGCTAATGTAATGTAAAGAAAGGTAATTTATCTTTCAAAGACTCCTGAAGTTTTCAGCTTCTGCTTCACCAGAGGATTCCTCATGAATAATAGAAACCTTAGGTATATTTAAATGTAAGCAGAGCTTGCTGCTTCCCCCAGAGATATTCACAATTTGTTTCTCTTAAATGTGTCCTAACAATTTCCTGCCAATTGAAAACCTAGAGTTTTTGATGCTTTTTATTAGTTAGTGCATTTAGCACTGCAGGGGTCTTCAGACATTCTAATAGGGCCTTGTTATGCTGAATTCATTAAGAATGTGCTGTCACCAATACTGCTCAGTCCCATCACAGAATGTTTCCCGTACATGCATATTAAAAACCTCCCTTACAACTGCTGTCATATACAGTACCATTTGAGAATCTGAAAGTAATACAGACTTCAAGCAATTCCCTCCCATTATAAGGGAAAAAGATTTTTTTTGCCGTGGAAATTATTCAGTAATTCTATCTCTGACAAATTAACTTTTTTTTACCGCAGACTAAAAGCCGTCTGAGGGGCATTTAACCAAACACTAACTTTGTTAGGTCTAGAAACATAAAGCTGCAAAAGAGATGAGTGTCAGAATTCAGTTTGTGTATAAATATGTGTACAAAACAGTTCTCAAATTATCATTCCCTTTACAGTGTTAACACTGCTATGTCCAGGACTATATCAATGCTTTTTTGGTTAAAAAGAATGTATTAATCTATGCTAAATAAACAATAGCGAATGTCGATTACTCCAGAAATCTGATTTCCAAAGTCCCATTTCATTCTTAAAATTCTAAAGTGTGACAGATATCCTGTCATGATTACATCCAGAATGTTCAGCTATATAGGTAACTGCACTAGGATATAATCAATTCCTCAGTAAAACCATTTTATCTATACTTTAAAAAAAAATAGGACAAAGGACATTATTAACTGTTCTCTGCCATTGATTTACTATTGTTATTTCGTCCATAGATGTGATTTTTCCCATTATTGTGCTTTAAAGTAAACCACTAAACATTACTGCGATGCCTCTCAATGTGTAAAGTCCTTACAAATCATAATGGTTAACTGAACGCATTACAATGTTACACAGCAGGGGATGCTTATTCACATTTTTGCAAAGGCAAAGCATTTCTTTTAACCCTCATGACTTGAGAATTAACATTCAGGTATAATGTTTTGGCCGATATTTGCCCTACAGAGATGACAGTGGCGTAAATGAGAACTAAACCAGCCATTGCATTAATTAGCATTATTTTTACAAGAACGACACCTACAATCTTAATTATGTCATTAATTTTGATAAGATTAAAATATGATTTGGGTTGAACGCTGTCCAAGGCACAACATGTCCATGAGTCACTCATTGAAAAGGCTCCTACAAGGCTGGCTGGTTGCTAAGTAACATGACAGCAAGTTTGTGTTGCTAAGCTCCCTGCTAATGGTTTCATCAATGAGGAGCTTTATATGAGCCTAACTTACTGTTTTTCTAAAGCTCTTGGTCTTCCTTTTATGGTGGTAACAATACTTTCAGTTTAAAACTAGAAGGGAAAAATGATAAGAGAAAGTAGAGAACAACCCCACATCTCCAAACACATTTTAGGTATTTAGCAGGAGTCTTTAACGCTGGAGCAAGAGAACCCCAAACCAGCAGATATTATTGGTAACCAATTAAATGCTCAGTTCTTAAAGACTCAGAACAAATTGATTGAGAAATTAGGCAGCTGATTTCCTAAATTTGAGATTTCTCAACCCATTCATTAACTGCTTGTTCTCATGGGTTTCGACCAAGAGGACTGCAGTGAGAAAATATACTGCAAGCTAGGGGCCGACTATCCCTTTTCAAAACCGGAGCGTTCAAGAGATCGAGGACAAAAAGGCAGAGACCGAACGAACGTGAAGAAAGTCCGACACTAGAGCTTCACTCATCAGCACTCCAGATTGCTCCAGATGACAGCCACCTCGGCTGTAGAGAGGAGGTTGTATGGGCAGTTGCTTTGTCAACATAACAGATTTGGAGCCCATTTAAAACTCACCACAGGAGGCACTTCTTTACAGAATTGTGCGAGTCTGGAACAAGCTACCCAACCATGTTGCTGAAGTGGATACCTTAGCTTTGCTCAGGAGATATCTGCATGTGATCTTCGGGGAACTTGCATGTATTCTTCGGACTCTCAACTAATAGCTTGACTAACCATGAAAAAAAAATCTAAACTAGTTCAGTCAGAATATTCTTGCTGCCTCAGTCTTCCCATGTGCCTGACACTGACCTTGAAATACAATGGTAAGAACTCACAACCACCATAAACATGCCACCATTACCAGAAATAATCTGGGGGGGGAGGTAGTTCAGTCCAGTCCAAAATCTTAATCTGAACATCAGGCCAGTCCAGGGGTTGGGCGCTCATATATGGGAACATCAAACATTATCAAACAGTACTGTATGTGGGGGGTTGGGGGGGAGAAGTTACCTATAATTTACTTTTGGTTTCTGTAAAATAGTAAAAAAAAACAGTTAAGTGGATATATGGACAGGCAAAGCACTGAATATATGCCAGAAGCTGATTCAGTGTTTATTCACAGCATTTCAGTAGGGATGGTTGAATGACTATAAGGTGAGAAACACAGAGCCGTGGAGGACTTAAGAGGCAACAAAGCAGAAGACCTGAACAATCACCAGGCACTGCAAGCAATTATAAAGCTTAATACCGCTTTAAAATGGGCACCCCCGCTTCTGCCATAAAACAAAAAGGACAAACCACCAGCAATCATTTCTTGAAAAAATTTAATTAAAAAACCCTCCAAAGTTAACCCTTAACCATGGACGAACCCTTTCTCTGATACAGTAGTGACATTCTGAGATACTGCTCATTTATATTACATATAGCTGATCTTCTGTTCCACTCCCGAGTCTCTCCTATTTCCTACACATCGTGCTGAGACCCGTTTTAAGTCACTAGGACTACTTTAACAAACAACAAACTACGCAGGTAATCATCCTATGGTCCCATCCTGAGCCACATGCAGGTTTTCTTCAGCAGGGTGCATTTCCCACAGGATGCTCAAGATGTTTTTTCAAACACAAACACCAGGTATATGCCTGTACAAAAGAAAAAAAAAATCCATTTTAAGTTCACAGCAATAAAAGCCTAAACCCGGTTCATGCATAAATATGAAGAAAGTCTGAAGGTTGTTCAGATTTATAAACTAAGCATTACTTTGCTTTAACAAACGTTTTTCTCTTTGGTCTTTCATTTGTGTGCACCTAGCAATTAGGATCTGCCTGAGGATTTCAGCATCTTAACTGTCGTGAGTCATTCCAGCCATGAACTCCACTGCAGGAGAAGCAAACCTATTACGAAAGTAAGCTCGACTTTATCAATCTATAACCCATTTCCTGCAACACAAACACAACCCACCAGTCTCAAAGTATGCTTCAGGCAGAGTGCTTGTGCTGAACCGTCTCAAAGCTACAGTGAGGCAGTCCTGCCTTTCTCTGTGGTTGCTTTCTCAAGGGGAAAAAAAAGCTATTTAAATCATAGGGTATGAATCTCATTCAATGCCTCTCATTTTCTGGTTGTGATTTGCTTTTAAAGTTAGTTATTTCTAATCTTAATGAAGTATTACATAGTGAACAGCCTATTAAATGTTCACGATTTTTACAAGACTCTCCCACTGTTTGTAGCAGTAAGTGAACTAAAGGCACATGACTCCACTTGGGTGGTACACAGGTTAAATCTCCATGCAATACAGATATTTTTATATATGGTGGGAATAATAGTGATAATTAATAACTCAGACTTATATGGTGCTTTTCGGGACACTCCAGTCAAAGCACTTTACAGGTAATGCAGACCCCCCACTCCACCACCACCAATGTGCAGTCCCACCAGGATGATACTATGGCACCAGGACGCTTACCACTCATCATCTATCGGTGGGGAGAACAGAGTGATGATGCCAATTAATAGATGGGCGTTATTAGGAGGCCATGGTTGGTAATGGCCAGTGGGAAATTTGGCCAGGACACTCCACTCTTTTCAAGAAATGCCCTGGGATT